TCCAGCGTAGTAATTCACAACGGGTCGTGGCCCAGGGAGATCCAGCGCAGTAGTTTATAAATCATCGTGGCCTTGGGAGCGGGGACCCAGTGTGCTTTACGAGAGATCGTGGCCCTGAGAGTGTGGATCTAGAGTGATTTGTCATGAATCGTTGCCTTGGTCACGATTTCGGTAGTTGTTGGGCTTCCAGGGCCCCCGCGGACTTCTGGAGACCTCCAGGGACTTCCGCATGCCTCCTTATGGAGGAGTGGCGGGCTTCCGGAGCACACTGCCTGAGTGTGGGGTGGTTGCAGCTCCCTGAGAACCTTGCGCATGTCCTGCACCTCTATCGTGTCTTCGTTTTTCTACTCGGCTGCTGCATCTGACCCACACGCTCGTGACTATCACAGGCTTGCCCGTCGGACGGAAGAGGTCCCCACGTCATGACCGCACAAGATAGGCAGAGTAGCGACGTGGCCTTCCCAGTGAGGCCGTCGCGACGACATCGTGGCCCCAATAGCCAGGGAGGCAGTCGTTAGCCGTGGTCCAACGGCCAGGGAGGCCGCCGCGAGGCCAGCGAGGCAGCCGCGAAGGGGCCATGTTGTCATGAGGCCGTCGCGAGCCGTCCACGGGGGGGAGGAGGGCAGCACCCCGCCATCTCCGAGAAACCCCGCGGGAGCGTCCGGGGTCGCAACTTCAGGGGGACGAGGTCGAGGAGGAGGCGATCGGGGAGGAGGCGGGGGCGAGAGGGAGGCGGAGGAACAAGAGGATGAGGGCAAGGAGGACGAGGGGAGAAGGCGATGAGGAGAAGAGCGAGGAGGAGGACGAGGGCGAGGACGAGAAGGGCGCGGATGGGATCTTGTCGAGTGGTTGGCTCTCGCGGCCACGCCCAGAGCGGCCAAGGTACTGTGAGTACCACGCCGATCAGGTGGTCGACCAGTCGACTAAGTTGTACGGCTACCAGAGCACACCAGGCAGCGTCTGGGAGGAAGCCGTCAGATGCGGCAGCCCTTCTTCAAGTTTCCAATCCTCCAGTCGTTGCCCCTGCCCCTCTTGGAGTTCTACCGGCTTCCAGGCTTTGGATTCTTCATTCACTGGCTCCTCATCCTCACCCAGGGCCCTCACCGTAGAGGAACAAAGACATGTGTAGAAACAACCTTGCGGAGTTCTGCGCGGACTTCTAGGATTGGCGTTGCGCCCTTCTCCCTGGCACGGGGAGCGCGCCAGGGGGGGTTCCAGCGCCGACTCAAGAAGTCCGCTCGAAGGTTCTTGTGAGCGGGGAACATACCCTTCTCAGCGGCCTCCCGGGCCTGGCGTCTTGTAGGCCCCCTGGGCTGCCTTGAAGCCCTTTCAGCGCGACTTAGTGACATTTGGGAGACCGTCAAGCGGCCCCCTGGGCCGTCTGCGGCGCCTTGCGGGCCATATTGGGGGATCTTCGGTTGGGTTGGGCCCTTGTTGGGCCGTCATGGGGCCATCTTGGACTCTCTGGGGCTCCTCTCGGGGTCCTCTTGGGCGTGTCTTGGGCCTTCCCGTGGCCGGCTGGGGCCGTCGCGGGGCCCGCTTAGACACCTCTTGTCCCGTCCCGGGTTGATGTTCAGTGCTTCTGTAGCAGTTTACCAGTAATGTCAGAGTTCAACGAGTTATTCCGGGGAATGGGAGAAGTTCTGCTTCTGGGGGCCTTCGTGGATAGTCCTCTTGCAGCCCTCGGATGGCGTCTTGGAGATTCCATGGGCTGTCTTGGCGCCATCTCTGGGCGACAGGGCGGGTGGGGCCCTTGTTTGGCCGTCTTGGGCTGCCTGGGGCCTCTCTCGAGCTCCTCTACGGCTGTTTTCAGCGTCTTGTGGGCCGGCCTTGGGCCGCCTTGAGCCGTCGTGGGGCCCTCTTGGATGCCTCTTGGCCCGTCTCGGGTCCATCCTCAGGGCCTTTGAAGCAGTTTGCGGCAAATGTAAGTGTTCAACGGGAAAGGGGCGTGGGGAGTCCTCTTTGAGCCATATGGGATCGTCTGGAGGGCCTCTCGGGGCCCACCTGGGCCGTCTCCGGCGCCTTGTGGGCCGTCTTGGGGCCATCTTGGGCTGGGCGAGGTTCGCGTTAGGCCGTCATTGGGCCATCCTGGGCTCTCTTGGGCCCCTTCTCGGGCTCCTCTTGGGTCTCTTGGGCCGTCCTGGGGCCGCCTGGAGCCGTCGTGGGCCCTCCTTGGAAACTTCTGAAGCAGTTCACCAACAATGTCAGTTTTTTTTTCTAATGGAATGAAGCAATTGCTGTTTGTTTGGGTGCTCGTGGGGAGTCCTTTGGGAGGCTCCGTGGGCTGTCTTGAAGTCACCTCAGGGCGACTTGGATCGTCTGGGAAGCCTTGGGAGCCATGTCGAAGCCATGCAGGCCGTCCAGGGGCATCTTCGGAGCGGTCGAGGCCGTCAGCCCTTTTGCCCCCCAAACTGGCCAGCCGGAGTCCCCCTGGGGAGGGGCTTGGGGAAGGGGGGCAATCTCACATTCCGTAGACCCCAAAGGGGTCGGTGGCTTGTCATCTTGATGTCCCTTCGAGGTGCATGCGGGCGTGCAGTGGGAGCCGTGTGTGGGCCCCCAGACGGTCTTTAGGGGCCGTCTGGGGCGCCTCTGGGGCGATTTTGGAGGTTTCCAGAGGGAGGTGTTCGGAGACCGTACTGGAACTTCTTGAGGCCATCTGTCAGGAGAGGAAAAAACACACAGACACAATTAATCGTCGATTCCAATGAAAATATGGGAAAATATGGGAAGTGGGGGGGAAGACAAAAACCCAGAAAATATGGGAAAATATGGGGAATTGTTTTATTTGTGTGTATTTATTTGTGTATCCTGGGGCGCCTTCAATCCGGGGCCCCTTTCGGGGGGGGCCCTCGGAGCGCTCTTGGGCCGACGGGGGCGCTCGGTGGGCCATCCAGAGGACATTTGGGACTGTCGTGGGGCTCGGGTTGGGCCGTGTTGTGGTCATCTTGGGCCTCTATTGGGTTCGAAGTGGGTCGTCGTCGGCACCTCTTGGGCCGTCCTAGGGCCGTCTGGACACGTGTTGGGGCCCTCGTGGAGGTCTTTTGGGCAGTCTTGGGGCGATACTGGAGACCTCTGTGGTGGGCGAGTCGAACACCACAACAACGGATATGCTGAAACTGACAGGCTTCCGAAGGAAATGGTGCAATTTTGCCTTGTCGGGGCCTTCGTCGGGGTCGTCCCAAAGCTTTCTAAAGACAGTTTCGATGTTCCCAGAGCTGTTCTGAAACCATACTTTGGCTGCTTGGGGCCAGAGGGGCCCCTTTCGGGGGGGCCCTCGGAGCGCTCTTGGGCCGTCTGGGGCGCCTGGTGGGCCATCCAGAGGGCATCTGGGACTGTCTTAGGCAGCGTGGTGGGCCGGCGCTTTTGTCGCCCCCCCCACCCAAACCTGCTGGACTGGCATCCCAAGAGGACTTGGAGAGGGACAAGGGACGACGTCCCCTGGGCGTCGCTCACTGGGGGGCGATGCATGTTTGGGGGGAAGACAGGCGCACTCCTCGGGGGGGCCCGACAAGTCTTCGTCAGGGGCCCTACCGGGCTCCATTTCGGCAGCCCTCGCTGCCCGACGCCCGAATCCCACACGCCGAGTGACCGCAAGGGGTCGGCGGGTACAAGCGTGAGACAGGCAACAGACGTCATCGGAGAACAGGTGGAATTCAGAGGATGCGCGTCGCGACATAACACACAGAACAATCCAGAAGCGCGAAGTGACTTGGGCAGAGACGCGAATCTCCACCACCAGCCTCCTCACAAAAGGAAATCCTGATGTACGAACACGCATGATCTAGCTCGTTGACAATACGGCTAACTTTATTCCTTGGTCGTTGACAAGACATCGCACTAGTGATTACAAAAATGGATTCGTTGTTCGCGACCAAGTTCTACGAATGTTGCTTGGTTGGCATGTATCACATCGTGAGTGGAATACAGACTTTTCAAACTTAGCATCACTCAGCCCTGACACGTTCCTTCGTCATGCACGTTATGCTCGACGTGTGGCTTATCCCTTGTTCACTACGTTGTACATGCACTTTGGTTGTGGGTGCTCGACACATGATAGATGTTTCATGTTACATGTTACGTGCTCAGTGTTAGTTACTTGCTAAACTAGGTCAGCATAGGTTAGTACACGTCACATGGTGCATCAAGTGCGCCGCGATATACGAGCATCGTCTTACGTCTCACACGCGAGGACTTGCAGTTTGCTAGTCACTGCGCATCGCCGCGACACAGTGACGCCAACACACCGCGACGCCCTCGTCCGAGCATCAGCACATAGAAGAGCACGAGGGTCATTCGTTTCTCCCGTATGCACGTCCACACACTTCCGCATTCACGGTCACGAAACGCAACACGCCGTTTCGAGGAGGTGGTTCGTTTCATCGATTTGTCACACGCCCAATCTGCAATCAATCCGTGCGTTAAGGTATGAGGCAGAGCATTCCGATGTACTTTCTTCGTTGACCAGCGTGTTTCCCGAGAACGAGACATCGGGTTTCCTACAGTGTTCGGTATCAGTTTGAATTGATGTTATTACTGTTCTCACACCTGTGTCCAATTCTGGCTCTCTCGTTCTGTGTTCATTGCTCATGACCTCCGTCCTCTCGGTTCAGATTTCTCGCACACATCGATGTTGCACATGGCCCAAACCTACTTGCATTGCCGCTTCCTGAAGGCATTGTGGCACTGATGCTTAAGATATTTATGTTCTGCTGGTTTTCTTACAACATCAAGGAAACCTACGAGGAGGAGCGAGTGGAGAGCTCAGAGCACAGGGACGATATCACATGATTGCAATATGTTGCTAACATGTTCTTTCGTGTGGCTGTTCGTTTGCTGTAGAAACACACTTGATGCACGCGAGTGTGACATGCGCAGAGCAGTTTGTACAGCATCGGTTATGCACGTGTCATGTCCGTGATCGTGCCAGGATGTTTGATATTGTATGTTCCGCAAACACATGAGGCGTTCAAGTCATGGAAGGTGGATTGTGATTCAGCGCCATGTGTTCATTAAACAATGGCGATCCAGGTGGAGTACAAGAGACGCTTTTATGGCAGGTTGGGATTTGTTGTATCGGTCGGACATTCGTGGGGTAGATACCGGAGCTGCAGTCCGTTCGTTGAAAGTGAATCTCCCTTATCTAAGACGCCTACGGCGAATCACCGCCGCCCCCTGCTTTTTTGGAAGCGCCTATGTGGCCGAACGTTGAGGCCAGACCTGCCAGTTTCGGACCATGTGTTCCCCGAATCGGTTTGGAAAGCCTTCGGGGAACACGTGAGCATTTTGAAAGTCATCTTGGCCGCCTGGAGACCATTTTGACCCTTTCGGGCCTTCTTGGAGGACGTCTTGAAGGGCTCTTGGGCCGTCTTGGAGGCCTCTTGGGCCGTCTTGGGGGCCTCTGGGGGCCGTCGTGGGCCTCTTGGGTGATCTTTGGGTGCACTTGGGCCGTCTCGGGCCGTCGGAAGGCAGAAGAAAAGCAAATGCCACAATCCTTCAAAAAACGCATGGGAAATTGATGATTTGACCTTTTCGGCCCTTCCTGGAGGCCCTCTTGGAAGCCTCTTGGGCCATCTTAGGGCCATCTTCGGTCGTTGTGGTGGGCTCCTGGCCCGTCCGACGCCGTCGGAAGCCGTTTGGGGGCCCCTCTGGACCGACTTGGGGCCCTCTTGGAATGCTCCAGGGCCGTCTTGGAGGCCATCTTGGGCGTCTTGGAGGTCTCCTGGGCCGTCTTGGGGGCCTCTTGGGCCGTTCTGGGGCCATATTGGAGGCCTCTTGGGCGATCTTTGGGCGATCTGCGGGGGCTCTTGGGCCGTATTGGGCCTTCGGATGGCCGAACAGAAGCAAATGTCAAAATCCTTCAAACACCTAAGGGACTTCAATGTTGTTTGCCTTTCCTGGCCTTCCTGGAGGCCCTCTTGGGGGCCTCTTGGGCCACCTTGAGCCAGCTTCGAGCCAACTTCGGCCATCTTGGTGGGCTCCTGGCCAGTCTGACGCCGTCGGAAGCCGTTTGGGGGGCCTCTCTGTGCCGACTTGGGGTGCTCCAGGGCCGTCTTAGAGGCCATCTTGGGCATGTTGGAGGCCTCTTGGGCAGTCCTGAGGCCATCGTGGAGGCCTCTTGGGCGCTGTGGGGGCGATCTTGGGGGCCTCTTGGGCCGTCTTGGGTCGTCGGAAAGCCGAAAAGGAACATTTAAACATCTAATGAAAATCAATGATTTTGGCCTCTTCGGGCCCTCCTGGAGGACCTCTCGGAGGCCTCTTGGGCCGTCTTGGAGGCTTCTTGGGCCCCTTTTGGGCCGTCTTGGGCCGTCTTGGAGGTTTCTTGGGCGGACTTGGAGGCATCTCCTCCTCTCTTGGGCGGACTGGGAGGCCATCTTGGAGGCCATCGTGGCCGTCTTGGAGGCCATCTTGGCCGTCTTGGAGGCCTCTTGGAGCCCTCTTGGGGCCGTCTTGGGGGCCTCTTGGGCCGTCTTGAGCCGTTGGAATGCCGGGAAGAAGCAAATGCCAAGATCCTTCAAAAACCTAAGGAATATCAATGAGTTTGGCCTCTTCGGGCCCTCCTGGAGGACCTCTTGGAGGCCTCTTGGGCCGCCTTGGGCCGTCTTGGAGGCCTCCTGGGGGCCTCGTAGGCTGTCTTGGGCCATCTTGAGGCTATCTTAGGCCGTCTTGGGTGCATCTTGGGCCGTCTTGGAGGCATCTTGGAGGCCATCTTGGGCCATCTTGAGCGAAAAAGCCGACGAGGCAGGCAGCCGGCGGGGCGCGCCGAAGCCCCAGGGGGAGTTCGTTTGTTAAGTCGGGTTTGTCCCTCTTCAGGGGGGATACTCAGAAATTGTCAAAGAATAGTGCGGGGACTATTTTTGAACTATTTTTGAACATTTGGGGAGTATTTTTTGAGTACTTATAATGTTTCGCCCAAAATCCCCCTGTAGGGGGACAGGCCCGACCTAATCCTTCTGGAAAAAGAACCAAAACCAAAACCACAATAATCTAGCACGCCAGGCACCCCTGCGATGAATCGACAGGGGGCGGCGGATCGAAGACGCCTACGGCGAATCACCGCCGCCCCCTGCCTTTTTGGAAGCGCCTATGTGGCCGAACGTTGAGGCCAGACCTGCCAAGCCATCGGACCATGTGTTCCCCGAATCGGTTTGGAAAGCCTTCGGAGAACAGGTGGGCATCTTGAAGGTCATCTTGGCCGTCTTGGAGGCCTCTTGGGCGATCTTTCGGCGATCTGTGGGGGCTCTTGGGCCGTCTCGGGCCGTCGGAAGGCCGAAAAGAAGGAAATGTCAAAATCCGTCAAAAACCTTAAGGAAATCAATGTTTTTGGCCTCTTCTGGCCTTCCTGGAGGCCTCTTGGGGGCCTCTTGGGCCTTCTTGGGCCATCTTCGAGCCAACTTCGGCCATCTTGGTGGGTTCCTGGCACGTCTGACGCCGTCGGGAGCCGTCTTGGGGGCCTTTCTGGGCCAACGGGGGACCCTCTTGGGGCGCTTCGGGGCCGTCTTGGATGCCATCTTGGGCGTCTTGGAGGTCATCTTGGGCGTGTTGAAGGCCTCTTTGCAAGCTTGAGGCCCTCTTGGGGCCATCTTGGAGGCCACTTGGGCCGTCATGGGGCCCTTTTGGGGGTCTCTTGGGCGATCTTGGGGGCCCATTGGGCCGTCTTGAGCCGTCGGAATGCCGAGAAGAAGCAAATTCCAAAATCCTTCAAGAACCTAAGGAATATCAATGAGTTTGGCCTCCTCGGGCCCTCCTGGAGGACCTTTTGGAGGCTTCTTGGGCCGTCTGGGAGGCCTCTGGGGGCCTCTTGGGCCGTCTTGGGCCGTCTGGGACTCTCTTGGGCCGTCTTGGAGGCCGTCTTGGACCATCTTGGGTGGACTTGGAGGCCATCTTGGGCCATCTTCGCGATTCTTTGAGGATGTCCCGAGCGAGACGGCCGTTTCAGGCATTGACCGCCGCAGTTTCCGGGTGGCCGGCGGGACGTGCCAGAGCCCCAGGGGGAGTTCTTTTGGAAAAAGAACCAAAACCAAAACCGAGAGGGTCTAGCACGCCAGGCACCCCTGCGATGAATCGACAGGGGGCGGCGGATCTAATGGTGTTCGGTGCATCCCGCCACCGTGCCTGGGTTGTGGGTCAAAGTTATCAAGGATGCTTCTTCGGGTCTTTTCGGAGCGCTCTCGGGGGCCTCTTGGGGCCTCTTTCGGGCCTCTTGGGAGCCTATTGGGGGCCCCTTGGGGGCACCTTGGGGCCTATCGGGGGCCTCTTGGGGCCTCTTGTAGGCCTCTTGGGGGCCTCTTGGGGCCTCATGGTGGCCCCTCGGGACCGAGGGCTCGAAATGTCCGTTCGGGTTCCCCATATGGGCCCCCTCTTGAGGCCGTCTTTCGGCGCCTCTTGAGTCCTCTTGGGGGCCTCTTGGGCCGTCCTGGGGCATTCTTGGGAGTCTTGGAGTGTCAGGAGGCTGAAAGGTGAGAATTCCAAAATTCCACCCAAACAAAGCTAAGGAATATCAATAATTGCGGCTGTTGGGGACCCTTTTGGGAGGCCTCTTGGGGCGCCTTGGACGCTTCTTGGGCCGTTTGGGGGACATTGAGCGTCTTGGAGCGATCGTTCGGCGACCCGGGGCCCTCACGGATTGTTTTCGAGACCTCGTGGAGTTTTCTTGGTCTTTCTTGAGCCCGAAAAGGTCAGGCAACAAGCCCCGATAAGACGCGACAAGCCCCGAGAGATCTGAGAATTTTTGGTCCGGGCCTCTTAAGAAGATTTTTCAGGAGTGGGGAGTGTGGCTCAGAGGATTGGGCAAAGGACCTGAGGACACGCCCACTCCGTGCCCAGCGGCACAGTGGCAGATGGTTGGATCGACGTAGCCCAATTCGTTTCTTCCTACTTCCGACCAGGGCTCGAGCTAAACGGTGTTTTGGCGATTTCGTGGACCCTTTTCGTTTTTATTTCGTTTCGCAGCAAAGGCAGAAAGAAGACAGAACGAAGGAGAACGAAAACAAAACGAACACGAAAAGCACTGTTTAGCTCGAGCCCTGCTTCACTCATCGAACGCGCCAGGGCCATCCTTGGCCCCAGGATGAAGACCCCCTGGCCTCGGATAGGAGGGCGTATACAGCATGCCGGGGCCCAGGATGACGCTGACCAGGCACGGTGGTGGCGCCCAGGCCCCGACGTCGTGATCTTGTCTACACCGTGGGCACCCCAAAGGTCTGGTCCCGTTCCCAGGGCCAGCCCAATCTTCATCCCGAGATTTGCTCTGGTTGCCTGGGGCCCGGCAAGAGTCCCCCAAAGGTCCAGAATGCTCGAACATTTTTCGCTGCTAGACGAAGAGGAGGAGGAGGAGGAGGAGGAGGAGGAGGAGGAGGAGAAGGAGGAGGAGGAGGAGGAGGAAGAGGAGGAGCAGGAGAAGGAGCAGGAGAAGGAGCAGGAGCAGGAGCAGGAGCAGGAGGAGGAGCAGCAGGCAGGAGCAGGAGCAGGAGCAGGGGCAGGGGCAGGGGGAGGAGTAGGATCAGAAGCAGGAGCAGGAGCAGGAGCAGGAGCAGGAGCAGGAGGAGGAGGAGGAGGAGGAGGAGCAGCAGCAGCAGCAGGAGGAGAGGAGCAGGGGGAGGAGCAGGATCAGGAGCAGGAGGAGGAAGCTGGGGGAGGAGCAGGAGGGCAAGCAGGGGGGAGGAGCAGGGGGAGTTGCAGGGATAGGAGGAACAGGGGGAGGAGGAGGAGGAGGAGGAGGAGGAGGACCAGTGTAAGCGTAAGAGTGATTAGCGATGTTAGAATGAACCCTCCCTCCAAGATCCCCCCTATAGGCCCCTACAAGGGTTCATCAGTTCCACTGAGGGAACTGTCCCGTTGAAAGACGGCCGTTTGAAGACCCTGACGCATGCCAAAACATTGTTCTCGGGATTCCAACGCCACGGATCAACCTGACTGTTGCGCCTTGACGACCCTGAATCGTGCCAGAACGCCATTCTTGGGGCTTCAACAACGCGAATCAACGTAACAGTTGCACCTTCATAATCCTGAATCCTTCCAAAACGAGAGGAATTGCCTTCATTCCGTGAAACTCTTGCATGTGTTAAAAACGAATGTGTGCGG